GCATATGTACACATATGCATTTAGGACCACTGCCATCCCATAGGACCCAGGCATGGGTCCTATAGGACGGCGGCGGAGAATCCTGAGAAAAAAGGAAACAAAAACAAGGCTGGGAGGGGGTTCCTCCCAGCCTTAGACAATAAGCTCATAGGTTCATGTCAGGAGGGTTTCCTCCCAACAAGATGGCTTTGAATACAGCGCATTGGGAGGAAACCCTCCCAATGAGCTGGGCTTGAGACCAGCTCATCAGGAGTAAAACCTCCCAATGAGCTGGACTGTGTAGCAGCTCATTGGGAGGAAACCCTCGCAATGAGCTGGTCTCAAGTCCAGCTCATTGGGAGGATATCCTCCCGATGAACTGGGCTTAAGACCAGCTCATCAGGAGGAAACCCTCCCGGTGAACTGGGCTCAAGACCAGCTCATTGGGAGGAAAAACTATTGATGAGCTGGTCTTATCCAGCTCATTGAGAGGAAACCCTCTTGATGAACTGGTCTTAAGCCCAGTTCATAGGGAGGGTTTCCTCCCAATGGGCTGGATTTGAAACCAGCTCATCGGGAGGGTTTTCTCCCAATGAGCTGCTATGAGTTTATAGTCTTCAGGCTTTGAGGAAAACCCTCCCAGCCTTGTATTTTTCATTTTTTCTCAGGATTCTCCGCTGCTGTCCCATAGGACCCATGAAAAAATCATCCTCTCGTGATATCAATTTAGAAATTTTTTTGTCTCATGATTGAGTTTTTTAAAGCTCATCTTGTTGATTGTATTGTGTTTATATGGATAAATTACAGTTTTTTTTGAATTTTATTAAAACTTGGGTAATTTTGAGGATTTTTTTATTGTACTAGGGGAAATGAATTCCAGAATCTATCTGAGAAAGTATTAGATTTAGAACTGGAAATGACAAGTTTGATGAAATCGACTGGTGTGAGAGGATCTAAATCTACAAAGAATATCCTGATCTGATCAAGAGAATTTCAAACTTTTATGCTGGGGCTGCAGAAAAAATCATTCTGTGCTGATTCTATTTACTATTTTTGTAAATTAGAAGTGAAATAAAAAACTCATCACATGAGGAAACTCAAGTGACTTTGATAGTATTTTATTTTGAATTTTGTCTGAATGTTGAGTGAAAGATATGAGAAAATCAGTTCCCAATACTGTGAAAAATATGGGAATTTCAGGTTCGTTACCAAAGTGATTTTTTGTGATTTTTGTTTGATTTTATGGTGACATGCAGTCACTGGGCAACCAGTGCCCTGAAATTTCCCCTGGTGTAGAATTTACTGTTTTGCATCCAATCTGGACAGCCAACCTGGATCACACTTTTGTGGTTCCAAATTTTTTCACTTATAATCATTCTTATCATGTTCCACTCTTTCTTTCTCTCATCACTCCCACTCCCCCAAAATCAATAACAAAGCTTTTGGAAAAAAACATTTTTGTTTTTTATTTTACACAAATTTTGAAACTTTTTTTTGTTTTGATTTCTTCATATTCATTTTCTGGGACCTATTCTGCACCACTTCACCAAGTCTTGTGACTTGAATTTTGTGCTTTGAAGCTATAGAGTCCAAAACAAGCAGCCAAAAATAACGGTCCACCCACAGTACACCCTCCACCGCCGAGAGAAACCCTCTTGGCCGTTGAGGGTCATACTCAACTGCTGAGAGAAACCCTCTCGGCCGTTGTGAGAACTCCTTTGGGATGGGTTGGCAGTCCTTGAGGTCAAAATAACAATAATGATATTTCACTAGATAATATTTACTGTTACGGGTGGTTTGAAAGACCTGCCCCTCTATTTACTACACAAGTATTCTGACAACAATTTATTTTTATTGTTGTGGCGTAGCTTTATGACAGAGAAAACTTTATATGTAGTAGTCTCTATCAGACCTAGATCAGTATGTAATTCATACAAGATGGTTGTACAATCTTTACACGGTGTGGAACTACTCTTTGGGATGAATAGAGCTTGAGAGGGAATAGTGCTTTAATGGGCTGCCTCTCTGGGAACTAGGATGAGTAAGGTAACAAGAAAAGAACAAGAGTATGAACTCTTGAAGAATAGGTGTGGCTATGGAGATTTCTTGAGTAAGGTATGTCTAATATGTCTTATGTCTACTGGTCAAAATATACTTGTTCACAAATCAAGGTATCCCAAATGTTGATGGGCATATACCTGGCTAATAATGGGTGATCAGTTATCTGGCTTACTGGGGCAGGATCTGATGGGGAACAAATGAACATGAAAAACAAGGCTCCTTATATACAAGATTCTGGGGAGTGGCCAGCTTGTGGGTGGAAGGGGGATGGAACAAAATGGAAGAGTGAAAAATATCAAACTGAGACAATGTGGCCCAATTGGTAGGCACTAAGATAAATGGGGAAAATGACATCAGAGACATGCAGGGATGAAATGTGCCACAACCAATGAGGGAGGAAGAATATACCAAAGAGTTGAATGAACTAGCCAAATGTGTACTAGTGTGAGACATCAGAATAACCAATGTAGAATAGTGTGAAACAGTGAAATGTGGCCCAAAGTGGAAATGAGACTAGAGTGAAAGTGGATTAGAGTGAAACACGTGCAGAGGCCAAATGTGGAAGGCCGAATGGGGATTGATGATGTAAGAATGCATGAGATGATTATGTAATAAAGAAGTGAAATGGGAATCCAGAGTGTCTTCTGTCCTGGGGGCTTGGTCTTGTGACATCCATGGTGTTGCAGGTTGGTTGAATATTCCAGAGGGGGCTTGTCTTGGTCCTTGAGGGTATTGTTGTCCAGAGGGCTTGATATTGTGCTTGAGGCTTTGATTTTGTGGGCCTCTTATTCAAGATTGGCTTACCACAACGGTGAATGTGAGTGTGAAAACAATCCAAGTGGAATATTTTATAGGATTTGATGGTTTTTACGTTGATTCTGGATAAGTAGTGAAACTGTTGGTTGCTGTTGTTGGTGTTGTTGTTGTTGTTGCTGGTGTTGACTAGACTTTAATTTTGATGACCATTGACCACTGAGCTTGCTGTCTGGGAGATGGGCTGCTGAGTGATGATGGGGGGAATTGGTGAAGGAGAGCCCTCCTTATATATTCTTTTCTGAGTTATTTTTGCTGGTGGTGATGCAGTTGAGGTGATTTTGCTGGTGGTGACCTTGTGGGTTGCACTGCCTCCTGCAAAGATGTCAGCGGTGGGTTACTCCGAGGTGATGAGATCCGCTCAATGGAATTTTACTGGAGTTGTCCAGTGGCTCCAAGTCATAGAAAAATCTAATCCGGTCCACGGTGTTCACGCCCAGCCAATGATAAGTTTTGAGAAGTTCAGGCTTGAGGATCCAGACAGTGATGTGTTGATGTGAGAGGGTCAAGCAAGCTTAAAGTAGTGATATGTTGATGTATCTTTGAGCTCAAGAGGAATGAGTAAATAAAATGAGGTTATTATTTTTGTCTCTTCTGAAAGTCTGGGGAACAATTGACTTCAGTCTGTACAACTTTATATATCTGGCTTGGCAGGGACAACTAGATACAAGCAGATGTAGAGTATGTTAATAATGAAATGAGTGAAATGAATAAGAAAATGAGTGACATGAGTGTGAAATGTATGAAACATGCAGTTGGTGTAGCAAAACATTAAGTCAACTATTTAAGGGGTAAATGGGTTTTGCTTGCCAGCTGACAAAAGAGTACATGCATTGAGCTAATTATGCTATGGAAATAACTAAATATGGTACTAGTGTATGTACAGATTGCATAACTGGTTGCACTGACTGGTGGAGGTTTTCTGTCCACATGCATTTATGCAAAGTCTGTGTACATTTAATTGATCTACTAAGTGGAGGCCTAATGGTTGCACGTATGCATGCAAGAGTTGCATAAATGATCTGTACTACTTGTGGAGGCCTGCTGATGTAATAATTTATGTGTATGTACTTATATATATGTGGTAAACTACTATTAAATACTAATTAATGACTAGTTATGGTATGGCTTTAACCTTTATATTGGATTATCTTAAACTAATAGAGATAGAGGTATAGTTGTAGTGAGTGACTATGGGTAAAATTGTATGTAGATTCTGGTTATGCAATAATATGTTCATATATGTAAGTGGTTTAGGTTATAAGGTAGGGGTTTTGGCAGTTTTGTTACGCACAACAGCCTGGACCACCACACCGTTGAGGTTTTAGACCCTTGACGGCTGAGAGAAACTCTCTCGGCCGTCAAGAGAGCACTCTTCGTGGTGTGGAACTTTTCAAGCTAAAGAAAAGAGCTTAGAGGGGAAAAGATCAACTACACAGGGGGAAATGTGAGTTGAAGACTTGGATGCTGATGAAGCTGCCCTCTTGTCAAGGCTTGGGAGAGAGTTACACTAAGAATTAAAGAAAAGGTGTGGCTATTTCTGTGGGTAATCTTAGTATGAGGTTTATTACTGATGTCTTGTACAAAGCACCTGTTGAGAGTGTGAGGATGTGGGTAATTTTGGTAAGGATGAGACTCTGGGGGATAATGGTTTCTGGGTTCAATTTCTTATCTTCTGGGGGAAAATTGTAAGGACTGCGAATGTCCTTCACTGGATGAGTCGAGGAAAGGCACAAGGGACAGGCAAGGAGCCTAGAATTTTTCTAAGACCAAACGTGGGGGAGCTTTTTATTACCTGGCTCAGAGAGATGGAAGGGCAATTCTCTCAGTACAATCTAGAAAGAGAGAAAGACAAGAAGAAAAGGAAATAGAGCTTACCTGGCTCAGAGAGATGGAAGGGCAATTCTCTGCAGAGCCAGGAATGTGAAAAGGAAAATGAAGACTAAGGAGAGAGTGTGACATGTGAATGAAAGGTTTGTGAACTCAACCAAAGGAGGGGTTTACAGTCTCCCCTCCTATAAAAAAATTGAAGAAGGATGAAATGAATAAGACAAAACAAAATTCATAAAAAGGAAGAAGAAAAGGTAAAAGAAAAAAAAAAGGAAGTAGCAATGGGGAAGAGGAGAGATAGAATCCAGAGACTTGAGTCAGGCACGCCCCGGATGACCGGCGATAGCATCCGCTAGGTCGGCCTGTTTGGCCTTCTCAATCTTGTTTGGGAGAAGTTGTCTGTCAAGGTCCTTGAGTGCCGCCACAGCGGCCGGTTCCATACTAGGGTAGTAACCTTCGTCGTCAAAGTATGTATCCCAACGGCCGTCCTCTCGTATTGCTGCGTCTAGTTGTAGCACAGAGACTTGGGCTTCAAGGGGTGTGATGTCTGTAACGCCTGCAACGCTTGCGGCACGGGCTGAAGGTCGACCCGCGGGAGGTTGAGTGGGTTTTCCTGGGGTGGACGATGGGCCAGATGGGCTACTCCAAGCGCGCGGGGCTGAATAGTCGACCGGTTTCGCGGGGGCTTGATAGTTAGCTGGAATGTCGTACACTGGGCCCTATTTAGCGGTCCCGGGCAAACACCGTTCACACTGC